AAAAATATATTTCTTAACTTTTTTACCAAAACATAAAAATAAATTAAAAAATTATTTAATTATAGTTCTTACCCCTGTTAATGTTATTATAAAACCAGAATTTCGATATCTCCATTATTTCGTGAGATWTTGCAATGGGTAAATCCTCGCGGGACACCCTGTATATAGGTACTAAATGTACATCAAAATCGATTATTTATTACGAAATAATAATTTTCTTTCCTAAAATTATATTATTAATAAATAATTTTAAAAATCTAGTTTAGGAAAACAAATAAAAATAAGTGTAATAAATTGAAATATAAATTAAAATGAATTTTTTTTATTTTGATGCCATATGCCCTGGAATACATACTTACATATAAATAATTGAGCGTTTATTCATACTCGGTAACTTGAAAACCACAAGTGCTATCGAAAATATATTCACATGTTAGGTTCAGTTGGTGCTCCCATTGTCACTATAAAATGCCTAATAAAACTATTATTAAGCCTATCTATGCAAATTAGCACCATTTCGATGTAAAACGAAATTAATGTGAACGATTTAAAGTTTATTTATAGTTTATCTGCTCGAGTTGAATTGTATAAACATTTAATTCTATTCTTACGTCATTAGCACAAATTTAATGGTACATTACCCATMATATACGTACTCGGTATACCCATTTGTACAAAAGTATTCGGTCAAAAAGTGTACTATTATAATATGTGMGTATGAATTTATATCCCATATTTAATATTAATAAAAAATTATTTCCAAGTTAAATGTCATCTAAAAATTATAATTTAACTAACACATCTAGATTCACCCACTATTTATTCATGTATTTTACGTAGGTAAGAAATGTGTACTTTTTCAACACACATGCATTTACTTATTATTTTTGTCTTAAATACTATTAAACAAATATGTGTGTGTGTGTGTGTGTGTGTGTATACATTTTTTTTCATAAAATATGAAATTGTGTGATAACAACAATAATTTCTTCAAATGATTAAACTTAAAGAGGATCATAACCTACTCTTCAATATTAATAACTAAATCTATTTGTAGAATAGATYGAATAAAAATGTAAATATTTTTTATTTTGTGGAATTAAGGAATTTATCATACGATTAATTATTATAATAAAAAAAAAAATACGTATATGATGTATTTACAGAATATTTTTTTAATTTATCCACAGTGATTTTAGACTTATTACTAAAATATTTTTACATTTTAATTTTCTCTGTAAAGTGATATAACTATGAAATTACATAATCACTTGTTGTAATTTAAATAATAATTAATATACTACAACTTTAAGTTATAAAATATTGTAAAATTATAATAAAAAAAGAAATCACTTTCATGTCACATTTTTAGTCTATTGAAATATAAATAAATTCCGACTTCAATAACTGTATTTGYTGATGCAGATTAAAGTACTTATAATAATAATTGTTACATTTGAAATATCATCGTTTTAAATTTTTTAAATATACTTTATATGAAAAATTTAACGTGAGTATTCTATTTGTATAATCTGATAAGTAATAACGTATACAGTAATTTATCAACAATTGTGTTGAAACATACATACGTTTTCAGTTGTGATACATTTTAAGATTAATCAATTTTTTAATGAATTTCGATATAATATGTTTCATTATCCATATCCATCTGGCATTGTATTTTAAATATTAAGAACTAAAAAACTAAAAACATGAATTTTTTTGTCAAATATAATTTTATATGGRATATTTAAAATATATAAACACCTATATAATACACAAAAAGATTTGTAACCATTATGACTTATAAATCTGCTAGTATTATAATGAACATAATTTTGTGATGACACAGTTTCATTTATAATATTATTCTCGACAGACAATAACAATTTTACACAAAAAGATTTGTAACCATTATGACTTATAAATCTGCTAGTATTATAATGAACATAATTTTGTGATGACACAGTTTCATTTATAATATTTTGCTTGACTTTTATCATTAAAAATTTACAGAAAGTCAATCTTTTTATGTAAAATTGTTATTGTCTGTCGAGAATAATATTAGAATCACGTACCAGAGAGTCTCATACCTACATTTTTCCCTTCCATTCAAAGATTTCCTAACTATAGCATTCCATCCGTACAATTATATTATATTCCGAGTTAAATTATAATATTCTATAATATATGTTTTGTTTCATTATAGAGGGACCAGTGGAATTGATATCGACTTAAGGAGAGTGGATATCGATCAATGTAGTTCACCCGAAGGCAGTACAAAGCTGAACATTTTTGCCTCTTCAAATAAATGTAAAACAGAGACGACTCAAGTAAGATTTTTCCATCATAACTATTATATTAGATGTATAATATGTTGGCTGTATTAACATTTTAATATCATGTGCATCAAATYCCGTCRTTGGTAATTAATTYAAATAAGCTGTTAGGTAATGTTCTGTATCTGCATCATGTGGTTACAATATTAGGCCATATCCCGTATCAAGTAATTACAACTATCTGTATAAATATACATTTTGATACAATGTTTRAAGTTACTTACTTACTTACCTAAATTTAATCATGTCTAGTATTAGGTACTTAAAATGTTTATTGATGAGTATCGTGAAATTGAAATTTTCACCATATTTTCGCGATGGAATAGCCACTAGTAGTGTTCACTATAATGACGTATATATACAAAGAATGCATTCGTCAAACTTACAGTGATTACAAAAATAGTTTATTTACTATAGGTACCTAGTAAAATTGATGTGAATTTTGTTCGTCCTTTATGATATCCCAATTATTGACGATAGCCGTAGTATCCAGTATACGCTAGTTTATCGRTAACATTAGCATACGAGAAACAACCATTATAWGTGACATTTATGAAACGTATTACTTATGTGTTGTATCCTTTTTGTTAGTGTACTAAACAAAAAAACTCACATCTGATTGAAAATTTATGCGTGGTTTATTTTGGTGTTATAACAAAAGCTAGGTACCGAAACCACCTGTGGTCTAACACATAAAGGTAAATGATTGAGTTTACAAACATGCTCGTAAAATTATATTCCAAATACGGTCTACAATGTTTGACAGATATTAACAAGTCTGATATTATATTATTATACATAATATAATTTTTTTTTGTGAGCCTAATAACATCGGAATCTATAGCTTAAAAACGGTGRTCGTTTTATTCTGCTATGACTTTACAAGTACTTATACTTAGATAATTTTATCCACCCACCTTGCGAGCTTTGTAGATTTTCCCTTGATTAATTTTGATGAAATGATTTGTTTCGCGTTGGGCACCTGTGGTKTATTGAGTGAAACGCTGAATATTAGATTATGTGTTGTCTCTTTATTTTTGATTATGCTTTTTACTGTTTTCAACATTGCAAAAGTATTGGATATATAAATTAAAAACTCGGGTAGAAGTTAGTGTAGGACATATTTTGTATTTTTGGTTTATTTTGCTGCTATACGAGAAATATTTAATGTTTTATATGCACCAGTACATGTGTTTACTATTATGGTATTTTCGTATGTGTATTGGAAGATATGTCTGCACATATTTTGGTTTATGTTTTATTTTTTTCCTTTTTTTATTTTTATGTTTATATACATATTCCATCGGAAAATCAATTAGGGTAATATTATCACTACTTTTTTTATGTAAATGTACGATTATTCAGCTTCTTTAATTTATTTTCTATTTATACGTTTGCTTGATTATCAATATTTTTTTATTAGTCTTGCTGATCTAATACGATATCAATGAATAATAATAAACAGACATAGTAATTGTCAATAAATATTCTTGGGGATTACCGTTTTATTGAWTGAAGACAATTTATTAGAAATTTGATACTTTCATTTACTTGAGATTGTTTACATAACTGGAAAAATAATTTCATGTAGCTATTTATGATTCTATTTGTTAATGTTTTGCTTAGTAGTTTGAGCACTCTGTAATTTCACACATATGTATACGTTTTAGTTATAGTTATTTAATTATTTTAATGCTATCCATTGATAATTGTATTGTTTGTTTTTGATTCATAATTTTTTTGGTTTTAGATTTTATTAATTGAAGCTTAACTATCATAGATATACCTCAGTATAAGACAAATGGTTCTTTGGATACTATGTTGTTTTTTACTAATCACTTACTAAATTATACTGGAGCTTATTATATTTCCATTATTATTTCATTGAATCTAAAATAGTTATTAAGCTGTATCTGTTGAAAAAATGTTATTTTAAAGTTTGGGAATTAAAAAGTAATAAAATTGTTACTTTTATCAAATCGTTAGATATTTCTCCTGATCTTCATTTATCTGGTTGTGTATATTTAGTCCATGATTATTGTCGATAATTCTAAGATTATTTATGAAACAATAAAGCATGAAGATTATCCATCTACTATTATTATACCTGCCTATATTTAATTAGTAATWCGTGTTACTTTCCATGATAAGTATAAATTACTAGCTGAACCTGTGTGCACTTCGTAGCCCATTAAAAACCCTACCTCTTAAATTTATCAAACTGTGAGTTAAATTCGTTACCAGTAATAATGCTCACGTTTAAATTCAAAAGGGTATCTGTTGAATCATTGAGATGCTTGGAAACAATATATCTYCGCCTTTAAACTTTTCGTTTAAAATTGTAGTTTTGATAATGATGTTCATCAACTTTTTCACTGAMAGCCTGGTACCGTTGCAGAGTCATGGTGGATTGATATTTCATATAAGAATGATGGGCACGCCAATTTTCAATATTAGAACGTGCACTGGCATGTCTGGCAAATCAAATGAATTTAAGAATTCAGTTAGATAATTGAAAACTTCGTCTTGATTTATGACGGTATCGAACTATCGATGGACTGTTACGTTATCGTGTTGTCTGGAATTTCATTTGAGAATGGTGTTATTTACTGTAGGTATTCAAGTTAGATATTCAGGTTAGGCCTRTCACTTTTTAACTTAGCCTATCTTCTGTCCATATGTCTAATATATTTTTTTTAAATATAAATCTAAAMAATTTTGTCGCAATTGGTCCAACCATTTATTAATGCATAAAGGACGAACAGTCAGACAGACAGACAGAAATTCATTTTTATACATATAGATTTATTTTGAATGTAATTTATTTCTGCTTAGTTTAAATATATATATACAGGATGTCCCAAAGAGATCTGACATTCTGACAAATGAAATAACTTTTGTT